TGTCCTTGATGTAAAATAGACATGATATATATGGGAATGGTTTTGCATTTAACACTTGTTTGCCTTTGAAAATATCTTGTCTTGCTAAATCAAGTTCATTTCTGTATGCCAAAATGAACAGATCTTTTCAGGTATGTCTTTAATGCTGTTAGGCCATCCTTGCAGAACTTTCTTTTGCAACTGTTCACTGTAACTCTATCCTAAGTGTGACAAATCAACCGTGAGAACATAGACAACATCTTCAGCTCTGAGGTCTACAACAGTGCTTCCCAAACTTTTTCCCATTGTGACACCATATACCTTTTCATGGTCCACTGGGGTTATTGTCAAACAAGTTCATCTTTCAAAGGGTCGTGGATCTGGGAATTCACTACACCAAAGTGTGACATATGCTGGCACATTTAGTAAAATTAAGGAGGGGATAGACAGATTTTTAATTAGTAATGGGTTGAAAGGTTATGGGAAGCGGGCAGGAAAGTGGAGATGAGGCTGGGATGAGATCAGCCATGATCATTTAAATAACACAGTAGGTTGAAGGGGCTGAATTGCCTACTTCTGCTCTTAGTTCCTATGTAAATTGAATTACTGATTGCCATACACTGATAAAAGATCCTCAGTTCAAACCAAAAATAAGCTGAATCTGAGTCTTTGGAAAGTGACCACAGTTCAGATTTTCAAGGTTTAAAAAGTAGTCAGAAATACTAATACTTAGAAACTATCAGTTTCGTAGAAACTTACCTCAGCAAGAGGGAGACAGACTTGCAGACCTTGGGGTTTTTCTCTTTCTAACCACTTGGGTCTGCAAAACAGAAATCTCAGTTCAGTAAGGGTTGCTTGGCAACAATTAGCACAGAGGCTCACATAGTTCAAAACCAGATTTTTCATCAATTAAGGACCATAAACCCCATCCTTTATCTTCCTTTGTTTGTCTTTTCTCCAAAATCACTTGACTTTCTGTAAACAGAAGGTAAACCACAGTACAATTAAACTGTTGACTTCATTTTCAAGAAACCACGCGGTAAACCCTTTTCAATCCAGGTAGTGTGCAACAGTTCTACATCTTCCAGTTTTGACATAGTCCATAAATACAAAAATGTATTCCCAACAACTGGTTTAAATATTAAGTGACACTAAGATGTGGTGGTATTGAAAGCTGGTAACATCATGCCTGATTTTATTTTATTTTGAAATAAAACCCTCTCTGCTGTGGACCAATGCCTGAATCTTGGCAAATTAAAGTATCCGAATGGTGGAAAGGACCATCTGACTGCCCCATAGGCCCCTGAGCTCTTCCACCTGTCCCCCAAATCTGCTCCATTAATACCCACTATTCTCACCCAACAGGGGAGCTGTTTCAAAAGTTTTCTTGCAGCTCCACGCATTAATACATTCTAAGCAGAAGCTTTAAGTTCCACTCAGTCAATTGACTTACCTTCTACGTTCTATGTTTTGAGAGGGTTGTGTGTGAGGTAGCATGCACCCATATGTGAAGTTTGGATGTTGGTTTTATGAAGCGAACAAGAATCACAGAATGTCCAAAGCTCTGGTCTGCCCTTAAATCCTTATGAACTGTGCCTGCAAGGAGATGTTAGGTTTAACTATCTGAAAACATCAAAACTAATTTGAATGACTAGGAGCTACCAAATTGAAAACCCATGGGTTCCTGAGCTGAAACAACTACCAGAACTCAAAGGAAGCTGGTCTACAGATGGTCTTGATTGTGCTGAAGATTTATTGACATGCAATGTAGAAACTTATAACAGAGATTTCATTATTATTTAACAGAATACTTGTGCAACTAACTACTCCAATCGCAGGAAGCAAGGCATTAGAATATGTTTCTTAAGTTAACTTTGAATCAAACAAAATTTAACATTCAGCCACAATATGAAAGGTGACCAAAAGCTTGGTCAAAGCAGTACATATTAAGGTGGACACAGTCACATACATACATAAATTTCATTTTCCTTAATAGTGCTTCTAGACCAAGGACAATTTTCTTCCACTGTGGAATTGTGGGTCCTGAAGTGACTAATTTAGTCCAATGCTGGATCAGCAAACTCTGCTGCAGGTAGGGTGGGTGACATTTTAGGGAGCAGGAGGGTGCGATGCCTAGGATTTTACACATTCCATTTGCATGTGGTCTCTTCCTAGGCCTGTCAGAGATGTGAAATGCTTAGCATTTTCATAGATGGTTCTTCACCTGTTTGGCCAGTCTTGGGCAAGAACTTTCCATGATTTGGTGGCATTACTGCACTTTTTGAGGGAGGCTTCAAGGATGTCCTTGAAGATTTTTTTCTTCCCTCCTGGTAGCCACTTACCAGATGAAGCTCAAAGTACAGAGCTTTGTTTGGAACTCCTGTGGCAGGCATGGATATTATGTAGCCCACCCAATGTAGCAGATTGATTGCAACCAATGCCTTGATGCTGCAAATGTTAACCTGAGAAAGGATGTTGATATTGGAATGCCTACCCTGTCAGTTTGCAGAATTTTATGGAGGTATTACTCTCAGGAGATGAGGTGTCTGCTGTATCTTCCCCGTTTCTGCTGCATAATGGAGAGCAGATAACACTACAGTCTTTGTAGACCATAAGCTTGATGTTGGATTTGACATCCTTGTTATCAAAAACTATGTTCCTTTTGATGACAGCCTATAGTGAATGGAGACTCCAATGTATGAGAATTGATCCACACTGAGCAATGGTTTGCCATGGATTTTTACAGATGGGGCAATATTGTGCTGGTGGAGGATCTTTGTCTCCTGGATATTTGGCCTAAAGCTGATTCTCTCAAACTCTTCCATGAATACTTTGACAATGGTTTGGAGGCTCTGAGTGTGCACACAGGCATCATCCATACACTGCAGTTTGATGGCAGAGATTAGGATGGTCTTGGTTCTGTACTGCAGGTGATGCAGGTTTAACAGTTTCCCCTACATCCTGTAAAGAAGCTAGACTTCACTGGGAAGCTTCATGGATATTGTTGGGAATACATTCTTGTAATCAAGGACTGTGAGGAACTGGAATAAGGAACTGTTTGGACATTCAGGATAAAAAAGGGTTTTGAAGGGAAATGTGATTTCTGAGAGATAGTAGGAACTGCAGATGCTGGAGAATCTGAGATAACAAGGTGTAGAGCTGGATGAACACAGCAGGACAAGCAGCATCAGAGGAGCAGGAAAGCTGACGTTTCAGGCCTAGACCCTTCTTCAGAAATGGGGAGGGGAAGGGGATTCTGAAATAAATAGGGAGAAAGGGGGAGGCGGATTGAAGATGGACAAAGGAGAAGATAGGAGGAGAGGAGACAGACAGGTCAAGGAGGCGGGGTTGGAGCCAGTAAAGCTGAGTTAGAGAGGGGATAGGTCGGTCCAGGGAGGACGGACACGTCAAGGGGGCGGGATAAGGTGGGAGGAGTGGATAGGTGGGAGGCGGCTACAAGCTGGGCTGGTTTTGGGATGCGGTAGGGGGAGGGGAGATTTTGAAGCTTGTGAAGTCCACATTGATACCATTGGGCTGCAGGGTTCCCAAGCAAAATATGAGATGCTGTTCCTGCAACTTTCGGGTGGCATCGTTGTGACACTGCAGGAGGCCCAGGATGGACATGTCGTTCAAGGAGTGGGAGGGGAAGTTGAAATTGTTTGCGACTGGGAGGTGCAGTTGTTTGTTGCGAACCGATCATAGGTGTTCCACAAAACGGTCTCCAGGCCTCCGTTTGGTTACCCCGATGTAGAGAAGGCCACAACGGGAACAGTGGATACAGTATACCACATTAGCAGGTGTGCAGGTGAACATCTGTTTGATGTGGAATGTCTTCTTAGGGACTGGGATGGTGGTGAGGGGGGTGTAGGGGCAGGTGTAACATTTCCTGCGGTTGCATGGAAAAGTGCTGGGAGTGGTAGGACTGGTGGGGAGTGTGGAGCGGACAAGGGAGTCACGGAGAGAGTGGTCCCTCCGGAAAGCAGATAAGGGTGGGGAGGGAAAAATGTCTTTGGTTGTGGGGTTGGATTGCAGATGGCAGAAGTGTCAGAGGATGATGCATTGGATCCGGAGGTTAGTGGGGTGGTACGTGAGGACGAGGGGGATTCTGTTTCATTTGTTATTGCGGGGAGGGGGTGTGGGGGACGAGTTGCGGGAAATGCAAGAGACACGGTCGAGGGCGTTTTCGACCACTGTGCAGGGGAAGTTGCGGTCCTTGAAAAACAAGGACATCTGGGATGTCCGGGAGTGGAATGCCTCATCTTGGGAGCAGATGCGGCGGAGGCAAAGGAATTGGGAATAGGGGATAGTCTTTTTGCAGGAAGGTGGGTGAGGAGGTGTACTCTAGGTAGCTGGGGGAGTCGGTAGGCTTGAAATGGATATTGATTTCCAGGTGGTTGCCAGAGATGGAAATAGAGAGGTCCAGGAAAGAGAGAGAGGTATCGGAGATGGTCCAGGTGAACTTAAGGTTGGGGTGGAAGGTGTTGGTGTAGTGGATGAACTGTTCAAGCTCCTCCCCTGACTGTGATGTATGCAGCAAATACATTCATATAAAATTAGTGATGTTAATATTTTATTTTTATTTGTGTTATTCTCCTAATTGGCTACTGGGGGTACATACTAGCTGATACTACAATTGAAGCAGATTCTAGGATTGATTTCAAATTTCTACACTAATTCCACTAGTTCTACAATTGGCTTTGGTGTACCATTTTGAGACAATGCTCCCGTACCTGATTTCTGTCCAGTGACCCTTGCTGATGAACGCATGCCTGTGGATATTGGAAGAAAGCTAACAGATTAAACTGATTTGTGAAGCTGCTCATAGTCTAACAATGTTGACACTTAAGCTTACAATAGGCTCACTCCAATAATGACCTCTTGGCTGAGACCACAGAGGGTTTCCATGGCACAGGACCTATACTCTAGAAAAAGTCAGTTAGTTTAGGAGAGATGAACAGAAACATGGCAACAATAAGAAATGAGAAGAAAATATTTATTTCTCAAAGACTTGCAAACTCCCAATCTTTGAAATACTCAATTACTTGCAGATCTTCATTTCATATATTGTGATAAGCATGGAGAACTCTCAGCTTTTAGTTCCATTGTACCAATAGCTTTGCTGCTAAATTGCAGCATTTGAAGGAACACACCTCCAACTAATTTCACTCTCCTGAGAGAGGCAACACTACAGCAGGAAAAGATGTTCAGATGTTGAGTTTGGAACCTGTGAAAGTTCAAAAAAATCAGTATCTTTAATTTCCTCCTAAACTCTTGAAGTTGAAATGTTACTTCCACTCAAAGACACAAGTCTAACTGATTTGCCAATGGAAATTAAGATCTCAGAAATTCTATAGCCGATTGAGATTGCAATGCAATGACAGGAAATTGACAGGAGTGTGAAAAGTCTTCCCATTTTTATTCTTTAATTTTGGATTCTTGGCCCCATAAGACTGGTTTACAATTCGCCTTTTTTAAAAGGCAAATTTGCAGAGTTGTATTGCCTTGACTGTTGTGTGATTATAGGTGTGTTTGGGAGTAAACAAACATAGTTTGATTTTGAGTAGTGGCTTAGTGATTAACCAGTTTTGCTACTTAAGTTCATTTCGAATAAACTAATTTTGTGAGTTTATTGAAAAGCTACGGTGAAAGTTTCTTGTTCTGGATAATAGTAATAAAGAGAAACAGATTGTTCATTCTAGTAATTAAATAAAACATTAACACATTTGGTACTGCTGATGAATTAATGGGTTTTGATTCCCAGTGCACACTTCCTGTTAAGAGTCACAACAATATGGGTTGCAGTGTTGCATTAAGGAAGATGAAGAAGAGCGTTGGTGCAAGGCACAGTATTGCTTGATCACAGTTGATACACATATTGGATATGTGCATGGCTGACATGTTGCCATGCAGCATTCGGAGAATGGTGATGAATTTCTGCAGGCTGCCAAATTTAAGGACTCCATTGTCCTCCTGTTTGATAGAGTTGAAGATCTTTGTAGTGTCAAAGAAAGCCATGTGTAAAAGCTGCTACTGCTCTCTTCATTTTCCTTGGACTTGTCTTGCTGTGTAAATCATGTCCACTGTACTTCTTCATCAAGGAATCCACAATGAGATGACGGTAGGTGCCCTTCAGTCACTAGGAGATAGTGATTGAAGAGGACTTTTGTAACAACCTTCCCTGTGGTGGACAGGAGGGAGAGCTCTGTAGTTATCCAATCTGTCTTATCTCCTTTCTTGAAGATGATCACGATTACAACAACTTGGAGTAACACAGGCATGCTCTCCTCCTTTTGGATGAGGGAGACGTAGTTGTGCATGTGTGTTGAGAGTGTTTCTTTGTCATTTTTCAGTGGGGATTCTGTCAGCACCAATGGCCTAGGTTGTTCTCCACTGTTGGATGGTCTTTACAATCTCATGTTGGTCCAGGGTTGTGCTGAGGTGGTGGCAGGTAGCGTGCTGAACTAGTCTTCCTAGTAGTTCAGTGGATAAGTACACTATTTGGAATGGCACTGGGCTATGCAAAGCAGAATACTTAATGTTCAGTTGGTGCCAAGTGCTCTGATCTCTGTCTTGCAACAGAAAGATAGAAACACTTGCATTTTTGTAACACCTTTCAGGGCTATCTAAAGTACTTTACAGCCAATTCAATTGCTGTAAATGTAGGAAATGCAATGGTTAATTTGTAACAACAAGCTCCCATAAAAAAGTGAGCTAAATCCCAACATACCTCTTTTCACCAGACCAGTATAACTCTCTGTTTCCTTGTCTTCAAATACAAACGTAGATTTTGCAAAAATGTATTTATGCTGTTTCCCTTGACCTACGATTGTGAGATCCACATATTTAACACTTTCTGGAAAACAACTGAAACCAACATTGCCATGTTGGCAGTGCTACTTTTTTCACTTGCTGAGAAATGTCACTGGTTCAAGTACTGAATTAAAATAAGGAGTGCAGATACCACCCTCTACTGGATCTTGCTGTTAAGTTCAAGTTGTTCTTAAGAGGACACAGGGTGAGGGAGGATCAAATTAGAGTCATAGAGTCATGGACTTATACAGAATGGATACAGACCCAATCTGTCCAACTAGTCAACGATGACCATGTTCCCAAGCTAAATTAGTCCCTCTCGGCTGTGTTTGGCCCATATCCCTCCAAACCTTTCCTATTCATGTACTTATCCAAATGTCTTTTAAATGTTGTAACCGTATCCGCATCCACCACTTCCTCTGGTAGTTCATTCCACATACATACGATTCACTGTGTAAAAAAGATGCCCCTCATTTCCCTTTCTCCTGTCACCTTAAACATATGCCCCTTAGGTTTGAACTCCCCCACCCTAGGGAAAAGACCCTTGCTATTCCCTTATCTATGCCCCTCCTGATTTTATAAAACTCTATAAAGGTCTCCCCTCAATCTCCTACACTCCAGTGAAAAAATCCCAGCCTATTTTTACAATTCAAACCCTCCATTCCTGGCAATATCCTGGTAAGTCTTTTCTGATCCCTCTCCAATTTAGTTGTATCCTTCCTATAGCAGGGCAACCAAAACTGCAAACAGTACTCTGAACAGGCCTCACCAATGTCCTGTACAATGTCAACATGATGTCCCAACTCCTATACTCAAAAGATCTGAGCAATGAAGGCAAGCATGCTAAACATCTTCTTAACTACCCTGTCTACTTGTGATACAAATTTCAAAGAATTATCTACTTGAGCGCCAAGGTCTCTCTCTTCTACAGCACTACCCAGGGCTCTACCAGTAATTGTATCAGTTCTGTCCACCATAATGCAATACCATATGTTTATCCAAATTAAATTCCTCAGCGCACTGACCCAATTCTTCAAGATCTCTTCGCACTCTTCACTGTATACTATACAACGAATTTTAAGGTCATTTGCAAACTTACTAACCATGCCTCCTACATTCTGATCCAAATCATTTATATAAGTGACAAACAAAAGCAGACCCAGCACCAATCCCTTTGCAACACCGGTGGTCACAGGCCTCCTGTCCAAAAAAACAATCCTCCACCACCACCCTCTGTCTCCTACGATGAAGCCAATTTTGTATCCAATTGGCAAGCTCACCCTGAATCTCAAGCGATCAATACTAATTAGTCTACTATGCAGAACCATGTCAAAAGCTTTAAGTCCATTGAAACAACGTCGATAGCTCTGCTCTCATTTATCTTTTTGGTTACTCCTTCAAACAACTCAATCAAGTCTGTGAGACATCTGCTGAGTATTTTCAACATTCTCTGTTTTATATTTCAGGGTCCTGTATTGTGCTTTTGTGACTGGACAGCTCATACATGTAAAGAATGTCACTTACAGGTCAATCCTTTTGAAGGAGATAGGAAAGGGAATGGCAACTTTCTTCACGTACTACTCAACATTTAGTTCCAAAAAGAAGGACCTACCTGTATCATCTCATCTGGAGGGTATAACATTGTCCTGATGATCATGACTCGATCTAAAAGATCAAATAGAATTCCATGACATGACACAATATCTGCTGTACCCCTAACAACACAGTTTAGTCTAGAAATTTTCTGTTTGGAGACAATATTAACACTCCTCTGGAGCAGGCAGAACTTGAGCCCAAGCCACCTGATACAGAGGTAGCCCAATCTAGGTGTACAAAACAACCTTCAAGCCAGAGATAGTAAGAACCACCAATGCTGTAGTCTGAGATAAAATAGTGTGGAGCTGGAGGAGCACAGCAGGCCAGGCAGCATCAGAGAAGAAGGAAAGTTGATGTTTTGGGTCGGGACCCTTCTTCAAAAATGGGGGAGGGGGAAGGGAGCTCTGAAATAAAGAGAGAGAGGAGGGGTGGGGCTGGGGAAGGTAGGTGGGATGGTGATAGGTGAGTGCAGGTAGGCAGTGGTGGGAGGAGCGGATAGGTGGAAGAGAAGATGGACAGGTTGTATCAGGTTGTGTCAAGTCAAGGAGGCAGGAATGAGAGGGTGGGTTGGTCATGAGGCCAGGGGTGGGGACATTTTGAAACTGGTAAAGTTCACATTGAGATTATTGGGTTGTAGGCTCCCAAAGCGGAATAGGAGGTGCTTCTCCTCCAGTTTCTGGGTGGCGTCATTGTGACACTGGAGGAGGCCAAGGATGGACATGTCACTAAGGGAGTGAGAGGGGGAGTTGAAATGGTTCGCGACTGGAAGGTGTTGTCATTTGTTGTGAACAGAACGCAGGTGTTCTACAAAGTGGTCTCCGAGCCTCTGCTGGGTCTCACCAATGTAGTGGAGGCCACATGGGGAGCAGCAAATGCAGTAGGCCACCTTCAAGCCAGCCATTTTTAAAAATCTGATTTATAGTCATCATTTCCAATGTTTTAAATGGTTGGCAGTTTGGGTCTGTTAATTTTGTACTCTGAAGCCCAATTATGCCCTGCCTATTTTCAAAAGAAAATTTCTCAGAAACCGTTTTATCACTTCTCTGGAAATATTCTCATAATGATACAAATCACATCACAAGGCATTGTTGGATCTGAGCACCTAAAAGAACAGGTGTGGTCTGGATTTAACCTGAAATGTAGCTGTTGAACAGTACAGTAATCCCTCAATACTGCGTTGCAAGAGTCAGAAGCTGGGATGGTCAGTGTGCCTGGAGCACAGTGGGAATGGCCAGCATGCCCCAAGCAGAGCAGGACAGCCAGAGGGCTCGAGGTCTGAGCAGAATGGGGACAGCCAGTGAGTTGGAGGCCCGAACAAAGTGGGAATGGCCAGCTTATCACGAACAGAGTGGGACGGCCAGCAGGCTGGAGGCCTCAGTGGAGTAGGGACAGCAAGTGGGCTAGAGGCCCGAGCTGAGCGGGGACAGTCAGCGTACCCCAAGCAGAGCGGGATGGCCAGAAGCCGGAGCAGAATGGGGACAGCAAGTAGGCTGGAGGCCTGAACAGAGCAGGGACAGCCGGTAGCCGGGAGGCCTGAGTAGAGCAGGGACGGCCAGCGAGCTAGAGGCCCAAACGGAGCGGGGATGCCCAGCGTGCCCAGAGGGAGTACAGTGGTTGGACCAGCGCTGGCAGTCATCAGCTTGTGAGCCCATTCAGACCATGTATGGAAGTTCCCTGCATTGACCTATTGCAGGCCCTTTATAGAAAGTGTAATGTTTATCTTTTTAACTTTAGTTGTTATTTTTCTGACTAATATTGTGTAAGGTAATGTAACCTTTTATTTATTTGTCTCTCTATTTAGTATCTAAGATTTGTACCTATGTGCTTTGTACTAAGATGACACTGTACTCTTGTACTTGAGTACATATGACAATAAACCTAATTCTAATTCTAGCCTGCTTCTTATTATGAAGTATTTGGCATGAGGCTTTGATTCTATAATATTCTGGTTCAGAAATAAATATTCTAACCACTGACTGCTGAGTAACAGTTACAGCTCCTAACCTCATTACAGTCTTGGTACAAACATGAACAAAAGACCAATATGCCAGATGTGAGATGTGAGTGACTGCCCTTCACATCAAGACCGCATTTGACCAATTGTGGTATCAAGGAGCCATAGCAATACTGGAATCAATGGGAAGCAGTAGAAAAGGCTCTCCATTAACTGGAGTTATTCCTGGCACAAAAAAAGATGGTTGTGGTTGCTGGAGCCCAATAAACTCAGTCGTAGCACACAAAAAAACTGAAATTGCTGGAGAAACTCAGCAGATCTGGCAGCATCTGTGGAGACAGAGTTCACAATATGATTCCAATGATGATTCTTCAGAACACAAGAACCTTCATCGGTAAGCTTTGCACAGTTAGGAAGGAGAGATGACATCTGGAGTGAGGCACAGCCAGTGAATATATAGGTTGGGAAATTTGGAGGCAGCATGGGAATTCAGTGCAGAGGGGAAGTGATGTTTTATGCTTGCTTTCTTGACTCTCAGTTTGTAAAGGTTTTTTCCCACAAGCTCCGTATCAGGGCCCATCACAACAGGGTGACATTAAAGGTAAACTACAAGTTCATTGGTTGGTGATAACTACTAATTTGACTGTCTATTATAAGTTACTTTCATATTGAAGATAAATAGGGAAATACTACAGGATACAAGCTAAAAGACCAGTAGAAAAATTTTAAAAATCAAATTATGAACTAACTAACTGAATAAATAAATAAATAAACAAACAGACAGATAAATTTAAAAAACTGCCAGATGATGCATTGTACCTGCATGATGTGGGAGCTGGTGGACCCGACTGTGGATTCATAGTGACCACATCTGTAGCCAAGTATTGGTTACTTGAAGAACTCTGCTCAGAGTTGATGAGTTCCAAACACCGTGACACATTAAGAAGGGGGAATATTACCTGGATTTATGTTTCAGGAGACAGTCACATCTCTTAACTCCCTTGAACTCAGTCAGTGCTCAGGGACAGAATGGTGTAACTACGAGCGAGGCAGGTAAAGGAACCCAGGCGATAGTGCTGAAGGAGCCTCAGCCTTTGAGTTTGTCTAACAGGTTTGAAATTCTTGCTCCCTGCGTGGACAAGAGTGGGGGCTATAGGGAGGTTGTATAGAATGACCATAGCACTGTGTTACAAGGGGGAGAAATGTGTAATTGTAATCAGAGATAGTATAGTCATGGGAATAGGCACTGCTCTGTGTGGTCAGGATCGAGGGTCTCAAAGACTGTGTTGCCAGCGAGGTGCCCATATTCATTTATCTCATCTGAGCTACAGCAGGATTTGGAGTGGGAGGGGACAGATCCAGTTGTCATGGTTCACATAGGTACCAACAGTATAGTTAAAAAGAAAAGAAAGAGGTTCTGCTGAGGGAATATGAGCAGCTAGGGGCTAAATTAAAAAGCAGAGCCAAAAAGACAATAATCTCTGGATTACTATCTGAGCAATAAGCAAATTGGCACAGAGTTAACAAGATTAAAGAGGTAAACATGTGGTTCAAAGATTGGTGTGGGAGAAACAGGTTTGAATTCATAGGACATTGGCACCAGTACTAGAGAGGGAGGAGTTGTTCCAATGGGACAGGATCGACCTGAATCATGCTGCGACCAGAGTCCTGATGAATGAATCACATAACGAGGGTAAGCAGGGCTGTGGATAAGGTTTTAAAGTCAATGCTGATGGTACTGGTGGGGGGATGGAGGTTGTTTTGGAATAAGTGATAGGATAGGGAATATGGGAAGTTCAGGAATCTAACTTTAGACACAGAAGATATGGGGATAACTGGAAAAAAGGGGGCAGTCAATGCAGGACTGAGGGTGTTTACTTAAACATATGCAGTATAGGAAACACAGTAAAGGAATTTGTAGTACAGATTGAAACTGGCAGGTGTGACATTTTGGGTATCACAGAGACGTGGCAGCAATGGGATCAGGCTGGGAACTAGATATACAATTCCTATCAAAAGGACAGGCAGATGGGCAGAGGGAGAAGTGTTGCCTTGTTAATTATGGAAGCTGCTGATGAAGGTTCTTTGATGAATTTCTGCAGAGTATCTTGCAGATAGTAAATACTGCTTCTACTGAGCGTCAATGGTGGAGGGAGTGAACGTTTTTGGATATGGTGCCAATGAAGCGGGCTGCTTTGTCCTGGATGGTGTCAAGCTTCTTGAGTGTTGTTGGAGCTGCACTTATCCAGGCAAGTGGGGAGTATTCCATCACACTCCTGACTTGTGCCTTGCAGATGGTGCACAAGCTTTGGTGAGTCAGGAGATCAGTGATTGCCCACTGTATTCCTAGCATCTGATCTGCTCTTGTAGCCACTGTACTTCTGTAGCAATCCAGTTGTGTTTCTGGTCAGTGGTAACCCTAAGGATATTGAGACTGGGAGATTCAGCAATGGTACCACCATTGAATGTCAGGGGCCAGTGGTTAGATTGTCTCCTTTTGGAGATGGTCATTGCTGCATTTTGTGTGGTGCAAATGTTACTTGCTACTTGTCAGCCCAAGCTTAGATATTGCCCACCTCTCCGACGGCACCACTGATGTTGGGTCCCAAGCTAGACCCACACTTGCACCACAACCAGGAGGCCCCGGTTCTGAGCCTAGCCCACCAGGAACTGCTGCCTAGCCGATAACCAGGAGTCCCCACTCTTGGCCTAGCGCAACTAGGAGTCCCTGGCTCCACTGCCACCTGAAAATAAACATCATGAGTTCCCGCTCTGGGCTTACCACACCACCATCACTGCAACCGACACCTGGAGTCTCCGCTCTAGGTCTACCACAACCGGGAGTCCACTGCCATGCTAGGCCACTGGCACTTCACCTAGAGTTCCATTCCAGCCATGCTCCTCTGTGATGTCACCTTCACCACTGTCAACAGGAAAATGAAGAAAAAGAAAGAAGGCTAAAGGGGTAATGAAAGAAAGGAGGAAACGGCCAGTTCTTAGCGGATGGGCTCAGGAGCCCAAGCGCTGCCTGCTTGCCTGTGCTGCCATGTTGAAGCCATGTGTGTCAAGGATGATGTCAAGCTTCTTGAATGTTGTTGGAACTGCACTCATCCAAGCAGGTGGGCAGTATTCCATCTCATAATTCATCAGTGTTGTTACTAAGAAATTCAAAATAAGGAGAATGAGTCTGTGAATGTTTGCAACTGAAGGTATGCTGACATTTTTTTCAAGATGGTGGCAGCGGTTGGGTAGGAAGTGTTTGGACTCAGTACCCATATGCTCCCACTCACCTGGTCAACCGCATTCTTCTTTGTTTTTTTGTTTTGTTTCTTCATTTCTCTTTCGCATCAAAGTTCACTTTTTCTTCTTTTCTCCGGCTGCTGTGGAGGAAAGCGGTTGCAAGGTCGCAGCAGCACCGTGGTGGATCTAGATGTCTGTTCCTCCTGGCCATAGTGGCCACAGCTTTATCGAAGTCTTCATGTCGGTGCATCTGGTCCGTTCCTCCAGGCGGCAGTGTGACGGTTTCAGCTGTGGTTATAGCAGTGGTGGCATGGTAGTTCTGGCTTGTTCCTCATGGCCTTGGCGGCAATGTCGTGGCTTTGGGTAGCGACTGAAGTGGCAATGGCTTCAGCGTCGGCAACTTGGTGGGTCCAGTCCGTCCCTCCTTGCTATGGTGGCGATTCAGTGGCTTTGGTATCGGCTTCAGCAGTGACCGCATAGTGGATCCGGTCTGGAAATCCTTGCTTTGGCGGTTTCAGGGGCAGTTTTGGTGGCAGCGTTCTCGTAGCCACTCCAGAAACCCGAGGGCTATGGAGGGAACAAAAAATAAACTTTATCCCAACTTTGTTCCAATTATTTCTTTTCATAATTTCTCTAATTAAAATGGCACCGAATTGTGGCGACTTATACACATCTCAGTGTATAAGTACAAATGACAATAAACTGCTTTTCTTTTCAGTGGTTCAATGATGAAAATCAGGGAGTCACAAAAAGGCTTAAATGAAGCATTTTTAGATTTAGATTTGGGTTTTATTGTCACGTGTACTCAAGGACGAGGTTCTTGTAAGGTGGCAGAAAATTGTAGAGATGGATTTAATGCGTCCAGAGTGAGACTGCGGAATAATAAATTTGTATGAGAAGAGTGGTAGTCTAATGTGGTAAACTCAAACAAATACTAAGTTGTAAAGTGGCAGGAGCATTTTGAAAGGCAGCATGGTAAGTGAACTATATTGTGGGAGTTATAGTTTTTCAGGAAGCCTTGTCTGCTTGACGAAAGATGAGGTGCCCACAGACAACTACAGCTCCCAGCTAGGAGATAGCAAGAACTGCAGATGCTGGAGTCAGAGACAACTCATTGTGGAGCTGGAGGAACACAGCAGGTCAGGCAGCATCAGAGGAGCAGGAAAGTTAATGTTTCAGGTTTACACCCATCATCAGGATTGGGGAGGGGGAAGGGAGCTTGGAAATAAATAGACGGGGAGTGGGGCTAGGGGAAGGTAGGTGAGTTGGTGATAGGTAGATGCAGCTTGAAGAGCTTCAGGATGGAGGAGATCACCAAGTGGGTTGCAGCGGGAGAGAGATGCACTGAGATCTTTTTGGAAGGAGGAGGACAACTTCTTCAAGGTGGGCATCCTTGAAAGAAGCTTTGCAGTAGGATTTTCAACGACTAGGAGATAGCAAGAACTGCAGATGCTGGAGACAGAGTCAATATGGTGTAGAGCTGTGAGGAACACAGCAGGTCAGGCAGCATCAGAGAAGCAGGAAATTGAGGTTGGTTGGCTCGCCGAGCTGTTTTGTTGTTCCGCAGATGTTTCGTTACTGTGCTGGGTAACATCCTCAGTGCAGCCTCTGATGAAGTGTCGGTGTGTTTGCCCGCCTGGTTTTTAAACTCTGGGGTCCATTGAGATGGATTGCCTCACTTCCAGGTTTCCTCCATAGTGGAATGTATATGGGGTCGAGTTCAATGTGTTTATTAATAGCCTGCTTCGTGGAGTGCTGTGCTTCCAGGAATTCTCGTGCTTGTCTCTGCCTAGCCTATCCCAGGATCTTGGTGTTGTCCCAGTCGAAGTCGTGGTTCTCCTTGTCCATGTGGATTGAGATGAGTGAGTATTGGTCATGTCTTTATGTAGCCAATTGGTGTTCATGTACTCTTGTTGTTAGTTTCCTTCCTGTTTGTCCAATGTAGTGTTTCTCGCAGTCTCTGCAGGGAATCTTGTAGATGACATTGGTCCTGTCCACTACGTCAAGAAGAGGAGGAATACCTCTTCCAAGTGTTCAAGGATAATGGATATCCAAAGAACTGGGTCAGGAGATGCCTACAGGAACAGCATCAGAAAGATTCTACACGCCCTGACTCACTCATCACACTACCCTACATCAGGAACACGTCAGAACTCACCACAAGACTTCTACGACCGCTGGGCATCAGAGTGGCACACAAACCCACATCAACCCTACGACAAGTGCTCACCCGAACTAAAGACCCACTCCCCACCATGGACAGGACCAATGTCATCTACAAGATCCCCTGCAGAGACTGCGAGAAACACTACATTGGACAAACAGGAAGGAAACTAACAACAAGAGTACATGAACACCAATTGGCTACATAAAGACACGACCAATACTCACTCATCTGAATCCACATGGACAAGGAGAATCACGACTTCGACTGGGACAACACCAAGATCCTGGGACAGGCTAGGCAGAGACAAGCACGAGAATTCCTGGAAGTATGGCACTCCACAAAGCACGCTATTAATAAACACATTGAACTCGACCCCATATACATTCCACTACGGAGGAAACTTGGAAATGAGGCAATCCATCGCAACAGACCCCAGAGTTTAAAAACCAGGCGGGAAAACACACTGACGCTTCATCAGAGGCTGCATTGAGGATGTTACCCAGCACAGTAACGAAACGTCTGCGGAACAACAAGCCAGCTCGGCGAGCCAACCAACCTCAACAGCCACAACCCGAGCTGGAGATCTACTCCAAAACCTTAAGAGAAGCAGGAAAGTTGACCTTTCGGGTTTACACCCCTCTTCAGGACTGAGGAAGGGGAAGAGAGCTCGGAAATATAATGGGTGGTGGGGCGCCACACACAAACTGGAGGAACAACACCTCACATTCAGCCTTGGGAGCTTGCAGCCTGATGGCCTCAACATAAAATTCACCAGTTTCAAAATCTGCCCACCCCCGGCCTCATTCCATGTCCAACCCTCCCTCTCATCCCCAACTCCCTTGACCTGACACAACTTGTCCATTTCCAGCCCCACCTATCCCACTGACTAATGCCCACTACTTGCACCCACCTACCACCGTCCCACCCAGTCCTGATGAGGGGTGTCAATCCGAAACCTCAACCTTCCAGTTTTGGAGACAGTAAGAGCCGCCGATGCTGAGTCTGAGAATAACACCGTGTGGAGCTGGAGGAACACGGGCAGGCTAGGAACTTTTCTGAAGAAGGATCCCGACCCGAAACGTCAGCTTTCCCGCTCCTCTGATGCTGCCTGGCCCGCCATGCTCCTCCAGCTCCACACTGTGTTGACTGCAGCTTCCGCCTGCCGACGGGGATACGCTTCACAGGGTTAGAAAAATTAGATCGATAGGTTAAACTTTAAACTTCTCACGTACTCCGTCGACTTAAAATCAGTCAAGTATTTTTCCACCCCGCCGTAACATGAAGTGGTCGCCGGCTGACGACAGCTGGTCGCTCCCGCCGCGTTTTCCCAGAGGCGCCGCGGGTGAGCACGTGCTCCCTGCCCGGCGCGCCCACGTGATTCACAACAACCGTTATTTTTAAATCTGAGAGAGCTGGAGAGGGTGAGAGAGCAAGAAGAAATAACAGAGGGAAAAGGGGAAGGGGGAAGGAAGGAGAGGTTGGGCAGGAGGAGAGCGCTGGGTGGAGGGAAAGGGGGAGGAGGGGGCATGGGGGGGGGGAAAGGTGGGGGACTGGAGGGGATGGACGAAGGGGAGCTGTGGGGAGAGAAGTAGGGAGGTAGATAGTGGTTAGAGAGAAGATATAAGTGTGGAGGGAGGGAAGAAAGAGAGAGGAGGGGAAGGAGTGTTGAGAGAGAGGGAGGAAGAGGAATACAGAAGGTAAGGTCTACAGTGGAGAAAGCGAGGGAAGAAATGCAGAGAGTGAGAAAGAGCGGCAAGATGTTTTGTACAGTGAAAGGGAAAGCGAGGGAGAGAAGTTAGGGGACAGAGTGGGAGGGAGAGAAAGGCACAGTAAGGGTGAGGTAGCAATGAACATACAGACAGTAACAGTGCAACAACATGATGTATGGATAGTTTGGAGATACAGAAATGGAGGGAGAGAGGTGATAACGGTGTGAGAGAATCAGGTGGAAAGATAAACAGATGAACTGAGAATGACTGGCAGAGAAAGGAATCATTGACCAAAATAGGAAGCAGAAAGAGAGGAAATGGAGGGATGGACAGTGATAGATGGATAGGGAAAGAGACGAACAATGTTAAAGGAGAGATGAGGGATGGGGACTAATAGAGAGATTGATAGATACAGACAGGCACAGCTTGGCAAAATAAAATCATTGTATCCTTGATTAAGGAAAATTAAATCAGTAAAGAGGGATGAGATGGGTTTGTTTTATGCAGTGAGTTATGATAAGTATTCTATCTGGCAGGGTGCTTTTAAAGAGGGAATTGGGTAAATAATTGAAGGGGATGATATTGCAGGTTTACAGGGAAAGGACAAGGCTCATTGCATAACTGTTTCGAAAAGTTGGTGTAGAAGCAAAGGGCTGAATGGTGTCCTTTAGAGCTGTGTCATTGTGTAAAGTATTCTTGCTGAGGAGAGAGATGTTTTGTTCAGTTATTTATTTCTGAGTACTCATACAATAGGTGCTGGGAGAAAAGTACTGGGGAAGATGAAATCTGATTTCATCCCCCATGCCACTACCCTAATTATAAATGATAATACTTTTTAAGTTAGAATTCAGTAGAAAGTTAGAGTTTTTAAGGACTTGAGGGATGCTGTCCTGGATTGAAGCTAAGAAATAAGGATATTTGGGAAAATATATAAATTGTGTTTGAAATATTTTTATACATTTCCTTAGGAATATTTTCAAAGTAATCTGTCACAAATATTGTTGTGTTATTCCAGCTGACATCATCTACTTTTGTG